GAGTAGCACAAACATAACTAAGAACTAAGAAGTAAGAACAAATCTTTGGTGTTGAAGTTAGAATATCGTATAAGAATTTTAAACGATTTTCAGAGCAGCTGAAATACCACTGTTCTGCTAATACTTTATAATATTGAAAATGAAATTTACAATTTACAATGAAATTTCCTGGCGCATAGAAGTGACCAATAATTAATAACCTTTTATAAAATGACTCATAAAATTATTAATAGAATAATTTTTCACGCTATAGTAACTAGAAGACGAGTCACGAGAGCTCTCATGACGTAAGGTCACCACACATTTCCAGTCAAGACTAATTTTCTATAGAACACGGAAAGCCATGATTTTCGTTTTAGCATGGACAGGTAAAAGCTACACCGACGTCATTAATCGGTGTAGACCTATCCAGTCAGAAATAAGAGAACATAAGTAACAAGTATATACTACGGTAGTACCTATCCATTACTACACTAAAGCCGTACATTATGTCTGTACTCGTACAAGGAATGTTAATACTAGTACGTACTTGAAGATTTACTGATTAAAAAATTTAATGAGTAAACTCATGGTAAATTGTAAAATGGTTAAAAGCATCATTAATAAACTTTAATCAAACAAACGGCAACGACTTAACATTGCAACTACATTACATAACATACTAACTACTTAACAATCATAGCAACTAGCACTCATGTACTTACTTTTAAACGAGTACGGTATGTTCACTTTAATAATAATTATTAAAGTGAACATACTGTACTCGTGAACATACTGTACTCGGTCTCGTGCACAAGACCGTAGTATTATTACGGCCTTGTGCATCTCTGGTGAGTCTGGTCCCAGTACATTAACGCAAAATCGTTACAAGTACTTTAAATACAGTATTAATACTCGTACATCCTTAGAAACATCATCATAATGGATGTTGACCCTATAAATTAATGCATCGATGATAGCAAGCTTTTGTGTGACCACTGGACTAAAGAAACTAAAGATTTAGAAAAGGTCAGCCATTCGACATTCACCGCTGCTCTAAGAGGTTTTGCTTCAAACTTCAAAGTACTGCAGACAGGCTGAAGTAAAAACCAGTACTTACAGTGTGTAAGTACTGGTTTTTAAAAGCGGCTGACAGTTGCTTAAAGGAAATCGCCCGGTACATTGTCAAAAATGGGAATGTTATGTGTTATGCATCTTTCCACTACGGGTCGCGAGGCTCAGGGCGTGGCTTGCAATACAGCGAGATTTAAATTAAAGCAGACCAGAATAAAAATGCGGTTTGACTCAAAAACCATCCTTCCAATTTAAAATCTGTCAAGAAATTCCACTGATGCTACCGTCCAAAACAGTTCACGCTGGGCAATTTTCCATTCAAATGATCAAAGCCCTTGCTAAATTCGCCTGACTCTGTTCTGGTTCACTGAAGTCTACGTGACCTTTGCAAAATTACTGGAGACACTGCCAAAATGGAGAGCCGTGCCCAATGCGAGCTCGCACAGGAATCTCGGAAAGTCGGATTGTGTTTATTACAAACTTTAATAAATGCTCGTTCGCTAAACACTGAGCAACAACTTCAGCTTTTATACAAAAAACCGCGCGATATCCCCTTTTCATCACATCGTATCACCCGCGAAAAATTTATTTGACCACTGCTTTGTCGTCGATTTTTTCCTTATATTTTTATACCAGATCTATCGTATCGCATGTTTGAAGATATTAAGTGAAACACAAAAATCCTCTACTTCAGTATATGTGTCAACCTAAGAAACCTAAGAAACCTAAGAAACCTAATTTTGGCCACCCATCATTTTGAGTGGCCAAAATGTATGGTGGCCAAAATGAATGGGCACGGCCTAGATATAAATAATGCGCAAAGACATCGAATTTGTGTTGAACAATGGGCTTCTTATGGGAGTTTCGTACGTTTCATAGTAAACGGAGTTTACTATATAACGACTACGCAAGTTGCCGGTTTCAGTACAATATATCCATCGTCATGACAACCGTGCGCAGTGCACAACCTGCGATGAGGCGAGAAACTTTGCATTGCTTCAAATCGCATCTGACGTAATACGATTATCCGACAGTTCTTAGCAGGAACTTCGTACTAAGTTGTGTACTGACTACTGCGCCCTTAACTTGTCTATGTATTAAATCTCCAAATTGATAATAATACTTACCAAGGCAAATTCAGACAAATTTCATTTATTTCAAAATGAAAAGCTTACTACCGTTGTATGCTTCATATTTGATCTGCAAAGGTCAAAAGAGCGTGCCCGGTGCCCAAACATACAATCAATGAATACAGACAAATTTCAGATAAAAATGAGTAAAATTTCGCCCGGCTACAGAATGTCATAAACCGAAACAAAAATGTGTTTGGGAGTACGCAAAAGTGAGGGTTTACGTGCATGTACACTAGTTTGGTACCATGTACCGGGTCACTTCCCGTGTTTTTCGAGTGGCTGCAGAAAACCGCCGCTTGCTTAATGGTTTGTTTCTCGTGCACCACCTATCGTACCGTAAGCGATTTAGCCTTCGTTAGATAATTTTACTGACTACTAAAAAGATTGGCTGTGCTCGTTAACTATGCTGTTAAAGAAATTATACAAAAATTTATTAAAATGGATTTGCCGAATGCCGATAAATCCGGATCAACTTATATCTTCTTCTTAATTTATGATCTGCTTGTTCGAGCTATTGGAATAATTTTAGGATGCTTATGCAAATCATGCACCTAATTTTTGAACAATTTAGGTGCAGCTGATCTCCAGGGTAGTATTTTACAGTAAAATTCGCTCTGTGTTAAACTGCGTTAATGCCGAACGTGAAGCACCTGCGCATAGGTGAATGCGCATCACTGATCACTGTTGTTTTAAAATAATCGTAACACGAGTAATTCCAGTTGAAATACTACTTTTTAATTATTTAACTTTAGAAACTGAAGAAAGTTTGTTTCGAAGAAACCCCCGGCCCCAAAGGGGCCATTCACATTCCAGGAAAGACAAAAAAAAACACATCTTATACAATAAATTACTTAACTAGAATTTTCCCACTATTTCGTTTTACTGCTGAAATTCCATTTCCAAGCAACAATTCCAATTAAAAGTATTGCAGTTTCAATGAAAACCGTTGCCCCGAGACACTTCGAGTAAAAATTTAATTGAGCCGAAAACCAAACGGCAATTCTAAATCATAGCGGATAGGTAAGGTTGCACTTAAGTTCAACCAATTAGTACAACATTGCTGGACACGACTACCGGCATATCCCAATTAATTCGTTGGTGATGACGTACGAATTTGTTTCGCAGTTCGGCGGCAAGGTTGGCTTCTGGCCCGGCTGACGTCTCGGTTTGTACTGGAACCACTGCCCAATGCTATCGCGGAAACCTTGTGTTGCTTGCTCCCCATAACCTGCCAGTACAAGCGCAGCCGTATCCACAATCAAAGTGGGCAGGTAAATCCGGCTCTGAGACGCCATCAAGGGCCCAGCAAATAAGTAGACTAGGAATGAGACCGTCATCAGGTACATGTGAGCCAGTGAAGCGTGTTTGTGTAAGCTGAGAATGTCGAACAAGCCGTCACATTGTCGCTCCCATGATACAGCCGCCAAGGTGAAACTTTGTGCGCCTGCGTTGCGCTAGAAACTGTTTACCAGCCACAACAATCGCAGGGCGGATATTTCGCCCGCGATGGGGACGAGGGAAAACAGAATGGGAACCGTCAGCAGACATATTTGTATGCTGGTTCGCATGGATTGACGATCTTCTTTCTGGAAATGCATTCGCGCTAGTTACACAACTTAAATAAATCACCATCCTAATAATGAACTTGATATTTTTTGTAGATATTTTATAAAAAATCACATGTACGAGTACATATTATACAACAGTCAGCGTACAGCGGACCGCGAGACTGGAAGACCAGCTGAACGGAAAAGTAAATCAATACAATACGTACAGTGAAACCTCCCGATCTTGAACGTTCGCCCTCGCCTCGGTACGTAATGTTTTGTTCAGGGTTAGAGGTTTTCACGGTTCCGAAGTTACCGCCTCCTGTGGATTATGTCGGTACGAAAAAACTGTTCAGATTCATGGGTGTTTAAACTCGAAGGTTTCGCTGTATAGTCATTCCAGAATCGAAACTTCGTAAATATTATGATAACTATTAAAAGCATGAACCAATCATTCAAAAGATGAGCAGTAATTATTTAAAATTTAGTTATTATTATCTTTATTAGCACAGCCGGCGTATATGTATGTGTTACCGCTCTTACAAAAAACCCATTTTTTGGCGCGTCGGTGCAGTTCGAAAGGCGTGTCTACGCAAGCGCCGCACAACCGTGACAACGACTGGTAACCGGTACTTACTTAGTAAAATACTTCGTACCAAGATTTGTATGTGACGGCCTCTAGTTGTGTGTTGTATACGGAATGGCTCGCAAGTGCTTCGATAACACTACGTATCGCATGTGACGCAAAGCATCTTATCAACCTTACTTGGCTTGTGTAACTGGTAAAAACGCGGTACGGCAGAACTGCCGCCGTACGACGATTAACAAATTTTTATTAAGATTGATATCAAAGTTGCTTACTTGGTTAGATAAATCCTCGTCTGCCATGAAGACAGTAGCGCTCGCCACTAGAAGCTTTCGGAGTAAAGCGAGAACCAAAAAACCCATCGCTTGACCATTGATGACAAGCACTGTCTTCCTAACCACCTCCATTAGCGCTGAAAATTCTAGTTTAGTTATCCGCTGATCCGGCTGACCAAGCACATTCTGTAAGCGCTGGATACAGGATCGGATATAGTGATAGTTGTCTGCTGATTCATGTTAATGATTGTCAGTGTGTCAGTGCATAGCAACCGATATGTTGTATTAATGACTTTACGTTACATGATGATTATGCTGTCGTATTACATATTAGTAAGTACCAGAGAGAACGAAGTAAAGACGTGACATAACTTGGCGTGAAGGCCATTTTTGTGGTATTCAACGAATGTCTCTGGACGATATTGGTATTGATTATACCACGAACGTGTTGACCACGTCCGGGCCGCCTACTATGGCAAAAGCAAAGGAATCCCCGACGCTGCTCAAGTTCGAGCCTGGCTCCATGGTGTGGAAAGCATGGCGTTCCCGTTATAACAATTATGTTAAGATACAGGAACTCACCACGGAGGACGATCAAAAGCGGCTGCTGTTGGACTCACTAGGAGTGGAAGCACATGAGATGTTGTTTGCCATGTGTCTTCCTCAAGATCCCGCAGAGCTAAAGCTGGATGAAGTCATTGCCCATCTCGAGCATGCATACGTAAAGAAGACACTGCAGTCAACAGAATGGGCGAAGCAGGAAGTTGGTGAAACCCTTTTGGATTTCGCCAATAAGCTGCGGAGGAAGGCGGTGTTGTGTTCGTTTCCGGCGGACGCGTTGGAGGGGAACATGCGCGCGGCCTTCCTAAACGGAGTCCAAAATGAAGCGACGCAGCGCCATTTGCGAACCAAGGAAATCGATGTTCTGGCGAAAGCACTGGATATCGCAGAGCAGTATGAGCTGGCGCAGCTGAAGCGGACAGCTACTACTACTGAAGTGGCGAGGATCGACGGCGGCCAGAAGGGACGTTCGGGGCCACATCCGAAGGGACGTAACGGTGGTACTCGACCTGGGCGTGGTGACGGCAACAGTGGCAAGATGGCTGGCAGCAGCGGCGCATGCTACGCGTGTGGCGGGAAAGGGCATGTGAAGGCCGATTGCTGGGCGAAGGAAGCGACGTGCAGAAAGCGCGGCAAGAAAGGTCATGTCGCAAAGGCGTGCAAGCCTCCGCCAAGGGGCGACAGGCGGCGGCGGCCGTCGGACGTGGACAGTGCAGGAAGACTTTGACGTCCTGGCTATCGGTGATGAAGTGGGTGGATCGATTCGGGTACCGATCACCTTGAATGATGCTCGTGTATCCATGCTGCTGGATACAGGATCCGGTGTGACGATCATCACGGCGAGCACGTGGAGACAGATCGGCTCGCCGAAGCTGACGCCTTACGCCACACCACTACGAAGTTTCACGGGCCATCCGATCCAGGTAATCGGAAGTGCAACGATGCCTGTGGTATATGGACGGACAAGGAAGTCACTGCCCGTCCTCGTAGTGGCCCGTGGAGGCGACGTGCTGGGGCGTGACTGGATCAAAGCGCTAGATCTCAGTCACCTAAGTCTGAAAGAGCTGCAAGTGTCTACGGTGTCAAAGGTCACCGCCCGCGCATCTGTCCAGAGCATTTTGGATCGCCACAGCAGCGTATTTCGCGATGAACTTGGGCACTGCAAGGAATTTAAGGCTCACCTCTACCTAAAGGAAGGTGCGAAGCCGGTCTTTTGTAAGCCACGAACGGTCCCGTTCGCCTATCGGGACGCAGTGGAAAAAGATCTGGACCGCTTGGTGGAAAGAGGGATACTCACGCCTGTGGAGCATGCGGAATGGGCTGCACCTATCGTTGGAACACAGAAGCGAGCAGGAGACATCCGCACGTGTGCTGACCTGAGCACAGGATTGAATGACTCGCTCGACGTGCAAACCTATCCGCTGCCTACTCCCGACGAGTTGTTTGCTAAGTTGAACGGGGGTGACAAGTTCAGCAGCCTGGATCTGGCGGAAGCGTATGCGCAAATAGAGCTGGACGAAGAAAGTAAGAAGCTGGTTGTCATCAACACGCATAAAGGCCTGTTCAGATACAACCGTCTGACGTTTGGAGTCGCAAGCGGACCGAGCATTTTCCAGCAGATTATTGAGCGCATACTGCAAGGCTGCGAGGGCGTGGCGGTGTACATTGACGACATTATCGTCACGGGCAAGACGGACGAAGAACACCAGCGGAACTTGGAAGCGGTGTTAGAACGGCTGGAGAAGTACGGACTGCGAGTGAAACTGTCGAAGTGCAGATTCATGCAGGAATCGGTCGAATATCTGGGTTTTGTGGTGGACCGCCGCGGGCGACACATTTCCCAGGATCGCGTGAAAGCACTGGTGGATATGAAAATGCCCACCAACGTCAGTGAGTTACGTGCATACCTGGGCATGGTAAATCATTACGCCAAGTTCGTACCGAACCTATCCGCAAAGTGCAGTCCGTTTCACCGCCTATTAAAGTCCGGTGCACCATGGGAATGGACGACGGAGTGTGCAAAGCAGTTTCAGGCACTCAAGGAAGAAATTGTCCACGCAACGTTCCTGGTGCATTTCAATCCCGCAATGCCGTTGGTGTTGGCAGCGGATGCGTCGCAGTATGGCGTGGGCGCGGTTCTGTGTCACCGTTTTCCCGACGGAACGGAAAGGCCGATTGCGCACGCGTCCAAGAGCCTGTCAGCGGCGGAAAAGAATTACGGACAAATTGAAAAAGAGGCACTCGCGCTCGTCAACGGCTGTAAGAAATTCCATCAGTACGTGGCCGGCAGGGAGTTTACGCTGTTAACGGATCACAAGCCGTTATTGAGCGTCTTCGGCAAGCGGAAAGATGTCCCAGTGGTCACGGCCAATCGTCTCCAGCGGTGGGCGTTGTTGCTCATGGGATACAGCTTTTCCATAGAGTACCGCCGCACCGAGGAGTTTGGTCAAGCAGATGGTCTCAGCCGACTGCCGCTCCACTCCACACAGTTGGAGAAATACCCAAACCTGGGGATGGACAACGTAGTGAGCGCGCTGCATGTGGAAAGTGCGGAAAATATACCCGTGCCCGTGGAAGACATCGCAAGGGAAACGGCTGCCGATGCGGAGCTCCAGGAAGTTCGCCAGTGCATCAGTCGCGGCTGGCCGGAGTCCGTAAGCGATCGAATGCGGCCGTACAAGAAGGTGCAGCGCGAGCTCAGTGTGCTGAATGGCTGTGTGTGCTGGGGGTCGCGCACGGTTATTCCTGAGAAGTATCGTCCCAGGATACTGAAGCACCTGCACGCAGCACACATGGGCGCCGGAAAAATGAAAGGTGAGGCGCGAGGCTACTGTTGGTGGCCATCGATGGACAGGGAGATTGAGCAGGTCGCCAAGGACTGCCGAATATGCACCGAGCGCGCGGGTGAGACAGCGAAAGTTCCGCTAGCGCAGTGGCCGGTGCCTGATGCTCCCTGGAAGCGTGTCCACATGGACTTTGCCGGTCCATATCGAGGCACGATGTTGCTCGTGGTGGTGGACGCAATGTCCAAATGGCCGGAAGTGGTGCAAATGAAGCACGCAACAACGGAAGGAGTGATGGAGGCGCTGCTCACGATGTTCAGCTGATACGGTGTGTGCAATGAAGTAGTGTCGGACAACGGCACACCATTCACATCGCTACAGTTTGTGGATTTCTGCGCCAAGTATGGCATCAAGCACACCAGGACGCCTCCAGGTCACCCGCAGTCGAACGGGCAGGCCGAGCGGTACGTGCAAACCGTTAAAGACGGAGTTGCAAAGTTGATGGCCGACGGTCATGCTTTGCCGGATGCGTTACGCCAGTTCCTGTGGCGTTATCGCAGCGCGCCGCATGCAACGACCGGGCAGTCGCCGGCCGAACTGTTTATCGGACGGAAGCTCCGATCGACGTTGGACCTTTTGGTTCCCGTCATGGCAACCACGACAGAGCGCAACCGCGAGCGATACCAGAAGAATTTCGATAAGCGGACGAAACCGAAAGAGTTCCACAGTGGTCAGCTGGTGCTGGTGCGCGACTACCGGTTGAACCGCACAGTCGATTGGATAAGCGGGAAGTTGGTCAAACGTTACGGCACAAAGGTGTGGGATGTTAAAGTCGGCGATCTGATTTGGCGTCGACATGTAAATCAGATGCGACCGCGAAGTTGGCTGGAAATGCATGAAATGGTGGAAGCAGATGTTCCACCATCACTCAACGCGGAAGCACCACCGCCTACGAATGACCTTCCGGAAATGACCAGTACAGCGGTGCCATCATCTACTGCGAACGAGGCAGAGACTGCTAAGCCGGAACCTGACGAGCCGAAAAGTCAACCCGATTCAGCGAAGTTTTCCCAACCGCAGAAGCCCGCTGAAACCAAGCCTGCTACAGTGAATAAGCCGCAGGCTACGAAGCCCAAGAAGACCAAACCGGAACCGGTGGAACCACGTCGTACAGCAAGGGCGAACGCTGGAATAGCTCCTAAGCTGTTAATACATGAGCAATAAGTTCTTTCAGTTTTTGTTTGTGTTTGTGAAGTGGGTTCCCCACTTGGGGAAGGTGTCAGTGTGTCAGTGCATAGCAACCGATATGTTGTATTAATGACTTTACGTTACATGATGATTATGCTGTCGTATTACAAATTAGTAAGTACCAGAGAGAACGAAGTAAAGACGTGACATAACTTCAATGATGTAAGTCCGTTCAATTCACTGAAAATTTTACACTTGCCTCCGTGGCAAAACCAAAAAAAAAATCAAGGGAAATGAAAAAAGCTAGTACGATCACAACATCGAGGACTTTCGATCGAAATCTGCACGTTATTGATTCAGGATTCACCGCAATGCACCGTGTAAAACAGCAGAGTCGTCATCAAGTTGAACAGTGGAATACCCAAGTGACAAGTCGTACTCTTATTTCAGTTTATACTTTATACCGAAAAGACTAAAATTATTGTGCCAGCCTGCCAGCCGCCAGGAGTGCTTCTACGCATGTATACTTCGTACCAAATTACTTAAAAGGAAGATTATTCATGAGACGCTTTTCTCGTTAGTCAGACCCGTCAGCCTATTCCATGTTTGAACGACCAGACACAAATAAGAAGAATTATTATTTAATAACAATGATCAGTAACTGCTGTTATGAGCCCCTCTCTCAGCGGTTCCAAGCTTTCCGCTCTCTTTTCTACCGGGCAGTTTTTGCGCATCTGTGTACATAAACTGAACAGATAGCAGGTCACAGGCTATGTAACAAGGATTGTCGGGGTATTTGTGTGTTTGTCTGCCTCTGCAGAGTGCAGATCACCCTCTACCCCCTTCTTCCTCTCAAATCGATACTTGAGAAAGCAGACGTCTTGTCTAAACTTTGGCAGGTGCTGTTTCGCTTTCTGAAAAGACAAAACCCTTGCATAAAGAAAATGCGAAGCGGATAATTGGAGGGAGTTTATAGCGGTTGCTACAACTTTGTGGCTACGTGCTATCCCCTCCCCCAATGCACGAATGCTAGTCTGTTCGCATAAACTCATCGCCAGCTTGCTACACTTCTAGATGATAGCAAGAAAGTAGCCAGTTGACCCAGTTCACAGCGGCTTGCTACGACTAGACGGCACCCGCCCGGTGGGACCGTAGAAGGCAACCGCCCACAGTAATGGCAGGTAGCAACAGCAGCGCCCGCCCACCGCTACGGCAGCGGACAACCTCTTATGGTGGCGGGTTACTTGACTATGGCAAGCCGATATTAGGTATATGGCAAGCCGACATTATATACATTATGGCAAGCCGATATTAGGTATATGGCAAGCCGACATTATATACATTATGGCAAGCCGATATTAGGCGTATGTACTCGTAATATTGCTCTTTTCCGAAAATTATTTTAATCCGCTTTTAACTTTTTAACTTATTGTACATATGAAACATTTTTTATTTATTTGATTTGTTTCAAGATTTCATCTTCAAAATCTAAATTGAAATCTTTGCAAATTTTAATTTTGAAATTTGAAGTTTAGTTGTAAGTTGAAATTTTAAAAAAATTTAAGTTCTGTTAGAGGCACGACAGCCTGCGTGATAGATACGCCACTTTGCGTATGCGTATCACTGCACACATGCTGATTCGCCCTCTCTTGTACGTACGTGAGTGGCTGCACTGCACTCTCCGCCTAGCGGATACACCGCGGGCGCACTCACTGAGCATACTTGCTCTCTCGCTCCTCTCTCTCGCTGTATGACTCAGCGCTTATACGCTCGCGTTGGATACGAGTCCAGTCTGCGCACTCACATTCCTTGTGTCTGGACAGCGTGACGCCGTTGCCGCCAGCACATTCTATTCTCGACAATTCATTACGCGTAGAACTCGCTCGCAGCAACTTGACTGCTGATTTTCGGCCAGACATTGGCTTTGTTGTGTTTTTTCTCCCGCAATCACGCGGTATTTGCTCCACTTTATTTGTACAATAAAGGCACCTGTGAGCCCCTGCGCTTGCCTGTCACATGGTAAGCAGATCGTCTGGTTTTTCGGTTTATCGGATCCTTTGAGGAGACGGTAAAGGCATAACTTGCGGAGAACTCGAAGAACCCACGGTTGAAAACAGATTGACTGCGAACGCAGCCTCTGCTTCAACCTGGTCTTTGCTGTCTTGCGACTGTGGTAGCAACAGGTTGATCGCAAAAGCGATCCCTGCCACCTTCGCTTGCCCTATCTTCCGTCTCTCCCACACAAGGAGAGCAACTTGGCTGACTGCCCCAGACGGACGAGCGGGAACTTCCCCACCGCAACTGACGGGACAGGCCCAGAAGAGAGCCTGCAGCGCGTAAGGATCCTCTCAACAATCGGGGACCTTCTCCTTGAACGGAGACCCGCAACTTTAACGGCGGAATTCGACCTCCCAACAGCGGATCACCGACCTCCACGGACACCAGTAACAAACCGGTAAAGTCCTGGTTACAGGTCGACACAGGTCGAATCTAGGTAGAATTCCTAGTTTCTAACGGCTAAAAGTAATTTCTAACGAAGAAATTTTACTTTTCTACGGTAAAAAGTTAATTTTTGTCGGAGAAACCGACCTACAAAGTTACTTTTACCGACCTAACGGACCACTCTGTGTAACTGACCAGAGGTCGGTCATCGTCTTACTTTTTTGATCTGACGGATTTTCCACCGTCAGAAAAATTTCTAAAAAACCTAGAAATTATTTCTAACGGTTAGAAATTAAAATTTCGACCAGAAAACATCTCTGATCGACCTAAAATTAATTTTGTTTTTCCGCGAAAATAAGCGCGAAAATCAACGAACTTCCTTGTGACGTCAGAACGCTCGATTTTCAGTACTTTGAGGCTAGCCAATCAGCGTGCAGGGGAAACTTCCCATAAGCTTAACATAGGCGTGAATCATCATTTTTTAAATTTTGCACGCGGCTCGCATTCTGTGACGTAGGCAGTGAAGTGCAAGACCACTTAACCCTGTGACGTCATACTGGTCAGCACAGTAGTATAGGACGTACTCTACTGTAGTACCTTATCATACTGTACTGTACCATAGTACTGTACTGTAACGTTGTGTACTGAGTCACACACAGACACATCAACAACAACAACATCAAGTCGGACCATCCTGACCCTCGGAAGTTCCGGAACCAAAAGACGTTCCTGATTCAATTGAACATCCCCACATAAGGGATAGTTCAATTTATTGTGCAACAGCACAAGTCTCTCGTCGGTTCCACTTGAACCAACCTGACCCGACAACAATGTCGAACCCGAAAGAGAACGAATACGCCCGAAAGTTCAACACGGACTATTCGCGGCGCTTGACCTCAAATGCACCGTACTCACTTCGGCACTCCGGTCAGGATAAGAGTCAGCCGTCATCAACGGACTCAACGAAATCGGTCGAGGCACGGGAGAAGCGTAACGAGCGGATCCTCCTCGCCGATTCCAACCCGACATCTGATGACAGCTTCGAGGACGCCCACGATAAGACGTTCCTCGAGCCCAAAGCTGACTTAGCAGCCCCGTCCCACCCGACCGGGGGGGAATCGGAGAAGCTGCAGGCTGAGACCACATTGTCTCATGCCGAGGCGGAACACCCACATGGTGTACCGACCTCCTTGGACTCAACAGAAGGACCTCAACTGAGCTCACAGAAAGCTCAGGAGTCGGTAACGACCATGAAAGTCACCGACTCTGGACGCAAATCACCCAACCAGACGGATAATGCGAAGAAGTCGACCTCGCCTAACTCGGGTAAAGCGACTTCACCGACCTTGAAGGTCGGGAGGCAACCGATAACAGAAATCGGTCAAGTCCAACCGACAACAGAAGTCGGTAGGGCTCCACCAACCTCAAAGGTTGGCCAACAGACACCGGCCTCGGAGGTTGGTTATCCTCAACCGGACAGGAAGGAAGGTCAATCGTCACCAACCAAGGACGTTGGCCACAGGAGGAAGGAAATTGGGGAAATCCAACCGACCACAGAAGTCGGTAGGATCTCACCGACCAACAAGGTCGGACCACTTCCACCGACCAAGGTCGGGCAACAGCAACCGACCTTGAAGGTCGGTCAACATCAACAGACGATGGAGGTCGGACAACAATCTCCGACCAAGGAAATCGGTAAAGTCCAACCGACAACAGAAGTCGGAAGGATCACACCGACCAAGAAGGACGGAAGTCCATCGACCAACCAGGTCGGACCTCGTCCGATAACACAAGTCGGAACCGAGGTCGGACAACTCCAACCGACCTGGAAGGTCGGACAACAGCAAGTCGGTCAAGCCCAACCGACCTCCCTGGTACAGAATCCAGTGGATAGCAGGTCGGACAAGGAAGCCCAGCGGTCCAAACTAATGGTCAAAATGGGAGAAACTGAGGCGCCGCCACGAAGCGGACCTTACCCAGCTGGATCACCGATCAACATACCAATGCCTAACGAGAAGGCTATCTCACCGCTGAGTCGACCTTCGCCAACAGAAAGCAGGTCGACCCGAGCAACAGAAGCTCAACCGAAGGTGAAATCGGACAAGTCGCCAACAAGTCGACCTGTCGACTTACTGAAGAAGCAGTCGCCACCAATGTTCGAGCTTGGCGACTCGGGTAGTGAAACGCCACCACCCATGGACGACGTTTTTGACACAACAGTAATGTCACGTCCCAGTAGCAAGGATGGATTCTTCCGAACGCCGGTGGCACCCCACTTGGGTAACCATAGGTACCAAGCAAGCATGCTTGAGTACACGGCACGGAAGTGGATTGCATCCACACCTCCAGAAAAGATCGAAGACGTCAATCGACTCAGGAAACGATGCCAGGATTTGATAACTCAAATCGTCCTGGCCGACCAAATCGTTAACTCCACGGAAAGTCAGATGTCACGATCGGAGGATACCCATAAGCTTGAACGAAGGCGATGGGAAAAAGAACTCGCTGAAGCCAACAATGGCATAGCCGCTCAACAGCGCCGGATAGAACATCTGGAAAGCCACCTCAAGAGGTCCGACAACCCATGTCGGTACGACTTCGAGGAGGTTGGACGACTTAGAAGTACACTTGCGACGTCGGTGGAATCGGTCTTTGAACTTAAAAGACGGCTCGCCACCGTGGAAAAAGACCTGGCTGACACACAAACAGCCTTGGTTGAATCGGAACTGGCAGCAGGAACATTCCACCAACAGTTCAATCAAGCCAACGAAGAGGCTGAAGTGTACCGAAACGAAGTCGACAGATACATTGTCGAACTCAAGCAGGCCGACGACGAGGTCGACCGGCAAAGACACCGTATCGAACAACTCGAGACGGAGATGGAAATTCTCTTGGCCAGGGCAGGACGACAGTTAATGGCTCACTATAGCCAACAACCTGCCTCACCTGACCGAAGTAGAGCCATTACCGACCTGGAACAAGCAAACGCCCAACTGGTCGACCAGGTTTACGGACTTAACGATGTGCTGAAGGAGGAACAGAGACTCCGAGCACAGCTGGAACACAGCTTGGCGGAAGCCCAGAAAGTGTATGAAGCGCAACAGAACCGCATCACACACTTGGAAATCCGCGAAAACGACCTGTACAACTATGGTCTGGATGCGGATAAATATATCGATGACTTAAATCGATATATCGATGAGATGACCAAATACACCGACGACTTGGATACGGAGGTACGGTGCCTCCAGGAGGAAACGAAACACCTGGAACAATCCAGGACGGACCCTCCATCCTACAGGACTTCGATGGCAACGGACTTCCACTTTGAACCGTCGCAAACTGTTCGAGATATCCTGTGGGACATCCAACCTAAGGAGCAGAAGAAGGAACCGAACTTCTTCGTGGGTGTGGTGACAAACAACCCGCTCACCGGAACTCCACCGCAGCAACAGCCGCTGCCCCACCGTCCAGAACCGGAACGGAATACATCGACTGCGGCACCACATGTGCCAACGTCAAACGTGCCGACAACGACGACGGCCACGCTAGGTACTTACACGAGTACCACGTATGCGACGCACACATCGACGCATGCGCCAGCGCCCACTACGTCCCACCCGAATGGACTAGCGCCTAACCAATGGGGCGCAGGACGGCGACTGGCGGAGCGAACAGGCTCACACCCCAACATGGATGACTTCGGACGCTTAACGATAAGCGACTCCGATTATCAGCGGACACGAGCTAGGTCATACAATAATGACCTTCCTCAAGCAGGACGCGGCGGACAACCGGACCCGGAACGTCCTCCCGCCACTCATCCGGAAGATCCTCAGTACGCGCCTCGGTTCCGACCCATAGAAGGTCGAGTACCACCGAGAAGGCCGTTTAGAGGCCAGTTTGGAAGAGTGAACGACCTTCCAGCTGGATTCTACCAGCAGCCACAACGGCCCCCACGAGCATCAGCTCCCCAGCCGGAACCATACCCGGCCGGACATCCAGACCAACAAGGTCGGGGATACCAAGACCAACAAGGTCGGGGATATCCACAACAACAGAATTATGGATACCCGGATCAACAGAATCAGCATTACCCAGACCAACAGGGTCGGGGATACGCGGAACAAGGTTGGGAAGCAAACCCTCCCCCACCGCCTGCCATGGACGCCCAACAAGCGGCTAACCGGGCATTCCAGGAAACGATGATCCGCGTGTGTGCCCGCGGACGTAAGCAGAAATTGCCGGAATACGACGGCGACCATAACAAACTCGAGGGATGGTTGAAACAAATCCGTCGATTCTACGCGGAAGCACAAGAATGGCATGAATCGGATCACACGTTCATGACAGACCTAATCTCACGACTCGAAGGCCAGGCCGCACAATGGCATAGGGACACCGCCGGCAGTGAACCAGCCGGAGGATGGCCAGTCAACCTTTGGTTGGCTAAGTTCGAAGAACGGTTCGGCGACAAAAACAAGGAAATTAACGCCGTAACCGCCATGGCCAAACGAAAGTACCGCTTTGGACAAGAGACGCCGGAACAGTACTATGACGCCATGATGAACATCAAGTCCCGATGTGACACCATCACGGACCAGATGGCACTTTTCCATCTGAAGGATAACATTCACGAACCCAAGTTACGAGAAGCCTTGGAGATTCGTATGCCGGCAACCCCGGTAGAACTGCGTGACTACATACGCCAGTTCGTAAACGGAAAGGAGATGTACGACGTGGTGAAGGGATCACGGGATACCGACTATGCCCGGGTCCGAGCAACAACGCCTACACCAGCTCCTTTACCGCAGGCGCCAGTACAAACAGTGTACCAGCCATACATGATGCCGGGATACCAAAGTCCACCGGCAACGTACGTGCAACCGACCGTACCAATGACGCCACCTGCGCAAATGGCGCCGGTCCAGCAACCGACCTGGGCCGGAGTGGCGGCTGTCAACGTGGCAGCACCCCAACCAGTAGCCGGAGCCCCAACAAATAACTACGGAGGCCCAAGTCCTGGCTCTGGAGGTAACCAGAATAACGGAAATTCTGGCTATAACCAAAACCCAAACCAGGGATACCCCGCTTACGGTCAGAATCCCACACAAGGATTCGGCGGCGGAGGTTATGGTCGCGGAAAAGGACGTGGCGGCGGAAATCGCGGTCGCGGTAACCGCGGCGGAGGCGGAAACCAACAGGGTAACCGACCTCCCCAAGCACAACAAGGTGCTCGGCAATATATGACTTATGTGGATAAGATGGAACAACTGTTCCTCCAATGGACGCTGGCTGACAGCTTCACTTGCCACTTTTGCAAGTTCGGGAACCACCCCCAGGCACGCTGCGCGTTCATCGGCACTCGGGTACAGGACAACCCGAATCGCCGTTGGTACGAGGATTGGCATACGCGATACCTGACGGGAGGACCGTTGGGTTCGGCCAACCCGAACTCGGCACAGATCGTGCCACCCCCGCGCCAACGCCAACAAGGAGGAGGCTCGGGCGGCGCTGGTAACGGAAACCAGCAGGCCGGCTCAGGAAATGGGTCGACCGGAAATCGCAGGAACAGCGGTGGAGGTCAACAAGGATCTCCGGAACAGCGGCAAATGCTACCGCCACATCAGCCCTTTGGCTCGCCGTCACCCAACAATGGGCCGGCTCGGGGAAACTCCTCGGGAAACGCTTAAGGTCGATGAGCCCCGGTGACTCATTCGACCTGCGACATCCCACCGAACCACCGGACAAGGATAACCCTACTAACCAATTGTACTTTAACCGGACAGAATCACCTGAACCCACAACAGAAGGGGTAGACATCCAACAGATGGATGCATTGGTCAGACAACTTGGTCTGAACCATAACAGTACGGAAGAAGAGTTCGTGAACGCATTGTCGGCTTCAACAGAAGAAGCCACAACGGCCAGAACAATGGCAGAACGACTTGGAATTTCTGTCAACAATGGCAAAATCGAGGCCCGGACCGGAACGCAACGAATGCCCGACCTATCTGACCCAGCGCATCAACTCGGCGCTGGAACGTCAGAGGTCGGAACGCAGGGATTGCCCGGAACGGCCGACCCAATGCATCAACTTGGCGTTGGAACGTCAGAGGTCGGAACGCAAGAAATGCCCGACCCAAGCAGCACAAACAATGTGACTGCGCCGCCCGCCACAGAAAGTGACGCAGGACGGACCGGCCATGGAAGTTGGACCGGACTGCCGGTGAGAAGAAACTCAACCGAGCAGCCCAGACAAGGGCCAAGACGCGGAGGACCGGGACGCCGATTCACGCAAACGGGCAACAGAAACTACCCCCGAGTATCATCCGCACGCGCAACGGATCGATACGCTGCGACAATGGCAGCCATCGACCTCACCGAAGAATCGGAAGGAGAAGTCGAAATATGGGAAGAAGTCCCACTGGAAGCACAGGTACCTACTTACTCTCGGCCGGAGGAGGCGGACCTCTTCCAACCTCAACCGGCAAGAACTGTAGCCGGATCTCGGACGTTCGTAAACCTCGATTACATGTGGTCACAATTGAGGCCAACGGAAGCCTCGATGCAAGAACGGATACGAGAGCAAACACGACGGTTCGAAACCACCGACGTGCTGGAGGACGGAGTAGCTAACCGACCTCAGGTACATGAAGTGGTCGTAACCGAAGTGCAACCAATCCAAGGCACGCTGACGCCAACAGAAGGTGGACCAGTTTCCTTGATTCCCGTCACACCGACAGTACGGGAAGTGACCTTCGAAAAAGGGACTCACGAGAAACCGAAGACGGTCAGAGCCTGGACACACGCAATCCAGATCGGACCAACGCCCACAATGGCGATGCTCGACACAGGAGCGGAGACTTCGCTGATCGAACAACGGTTTTGCGAACAAAACGACCTGCCAATGCAATCTCTTGGCCATTACACTCGGATACTTGGCGTAGGCGGACAAGTTGCCTTCACCGTAACTCACTGTTGCACCGTACCGGTAACGCTGCAGGGATTTACGAGCCATCACACTTTCCACGTTCAACCAAACAACGCGGATATCCCAGTGTTACTTGGATGTGATTACCTTCATTCCAAGTTCACCTTCGTGCTAACGCCCATTCCTAACCCGGAACGACCTGGAGGAATGACGGTAGTGCAGTCTATCCCGATACCAGAGGCATCGGGCACGGTAATAAGTGAAGCGAGGATAAGTCGGCTTGATCACCCGTCAAACCCTCCGCCCAACATTTGCCGTGACTGCCGGGACACTAACCGGACTCTGATCGAGGAAATGCAACTGCACAACGCCATTGAAGCGTACGAAGAACGGATACGGACCGGAAAACTACGTCCGCAGAAACGCATACTCAAGACGGTAGTCAGGTCTATCCCGATACCAGAGGCACCCGCCACGGAAGCGGATGCCATCTTAGAAGTCCAACAGAAGTATCGGACTTGGTTCACGGGAATTCAACATTTCCTTAACCGACGGACGTTGGAGATGTTAGCAACTCTGCAACAGAACGGAGCGGTCACTACGGACCAGATACAGGAAGCACAACGGACATGCGAACCTGTAATAGCTCTCACCGAAGACATCGATGATGAAGCTTGGGAATGGGAAGATGAACGAGTCCCAATTCACCGGCAGTACATGGAATACGGACTTCCTGTACCACGCCCTCTGGAGATACCCTGCCAAGAACTGGGCGGAGCACTCTTCAGTTACATGCGACAAGTACAGTTGTATGGAGAATCCACAACAACTACGTTTTGGAAACGGTACGGCGAGGATACCTCAATAACAAGGAAGATCCCCGACCCGTTACCGGCAACAATGGAACACTCACCGAAGGATGTGAGGTTCGTCAACAGTCTGGAGAAACCGACTGAAAACACACAAATCGGCGAAACTGACCGACCAGAACGTTGCATAATCTGCAACGACAATATTGATGGAGTCATCCGGACGCTGAAGACCCATCATGACCTGACTTGGGTTGACGGCAGACCGTCGTCACCGACCCCTCCGCAACCAGATCGGAAGGTGAACCCAAGCCGGAAAACTAAGTCTGTAGTTAACCATTGGCTGAGCAACATAAGCCCACAGCCATCCGACCTGGAGAAACAGGAAGGAGAAAGTCGACCGACCCAACCGACGGATACGGCCGACCTACCGACCTCAGAACTTGCAAAAGGCAAGGTGCCACCGACCACAGAAGTCGGATATGGTAACATGCCAGAGGTCGACCTTGAAAGTGGATCAGCCATAGAGTTCGAAGACTACGATTCGGATGGCTCGGACGTACAAAGTTCGAGTGATTCACCGGACACGGACTCCGATAATGAACCTTCGGAAGAATCCGAAGAGGATGATGATGAAGAATTCGACCCGTCAGTACGAAACTGCAGGTCGGACAAACCGCGGAATGACGACTCGGATGACTCTTCCGAGGAGGATGGAGAACCGACCTATGACGTCAGGCTAACAAAAGCATTGCGGTCCATCATCCATACTGAACTTATAGTCGACACTCCTCCGGAACAAACCGGACAGGAAAAGCCAGTCGACGCCGAACAACAGGCAGAACTGGAACAACTTCAAATTCTGAGAGAATTTGGAGGAGGTGAACCGGAGAAAGACGATCTCCGACCTTCGACGATAGTAGTCCAGCAGTTGTCAACGGAACAACCAACACCGGTTAACTTAACTGACCAACAGAAGTCGGAGCAACCGCGCCCACAGAAGGTCCGGATTGCAAAAGTTAACTCAATTACGGAGTTGAACTTGGGCAACAAGCACACCACCATACTGTTCATCATCTGGACACTGGAGCCCGTTCATCGACTCGATGAGCCGGCTAGACCGACAAGAGATGGATCTACAGCGACATACAACCGGACATCGACAACGAACACGTCGAGTGGGACCTCCCACATGGAATCGCCAAGACATGGCCGCAAAACGGAACCAAGGCCATCACCAAATTTGAAATTTTCGAGGCGACAGAGTCAGAGCTCAACGGAAAGTAAAACTCCTACCTCGGGCGATAACCCAAGTCCATGTCGTTATGGATGTAGCAGTATCCACCGGACAGAAACTAATGTACCTTGGTGGATCCGACCCCCAACGAGACGGAGTCGAAATGATGGATGGCGTAACGAAACATGACGGGAGACGATTTACCGTCATGGTAGCCAACCACACTCACCGTGAGGTCACCTTACGAAAAGGCGTACCCATGGGCAGAGTCGAACCGTTCCAAATGATGACGGACGACCAAAGAATCGAAGAAGCGAGAATACGCTCAGCTCAAGTAGAGGAAGAAGACGCGGAATCCCAGGAGGAACGACGAAGAATCATCGACTCCATGAACTTCGGTAAGAACTTAACAGCAACTTGCCCAACTTAAGGCAGTTGCCTGGGAATACCGGACCGTCTTCCCAACCTCGAAGAAACCATATGGAGATGTCAAAGGTGTAACACACCATTGACGTCCAAGGTGCACAGCCGATCAAGATGAACCCCACCAGAACAAGCTGGAAAGGAAGGGAATTCATCCAGAATGTGCAGGAGATGCTCGACCAAGGAGTCATCGAACCTTCATCGGCTGCATGGAGTTTCCCCGTCGTCTTAGCCGCGAAACGGAACGGAGACGGCACGGTTGGAACTCCTTCTGCATCAACTACATAAAGTTGAATGCAGTAACGAAGAAAAATAATTACCACTACCGAACCCGGACGAGCTACTGGACCAGTGCGCCGGAATGGAGTACTACGGTAAAGTAGACTGTCAGTCCGGCTTTTGGCAAATTCCCATGGATGAAAACTCCAAGGATTACACAACCTTCGTAACACCGGAGGGAATGTGGAGATTCAATCGTATGCCATTTGGAGTCTGCAACGGACCAGCGACCTTCCAGATGCATATGGACAAGATCACGGCATCAGCCCGGAAGAAAGGCGTGTTCGCATACATTGACGATATCATCTTCTTCGGTAAAACTTTCGAAGATTTCGTCGAGGCTTTCCGAGCGACTCTCGAATGCCTCAGAGATGCCGGATTCACCATCAAACCCCCAAATGTGAGGTCGGAACGGACAAAATGCTGTTCCTCGGACACGTCCTCAGTAAAGACGGAGTCCAAACCGACGATGAAAAAGTCGCAGCCATAGCTCAACATGACTACAGACGGAACGCCAACTGAGGTCGTTCCTGGGTTGTAACTACTATCGGAAGTTCATCCGAGGATACGCCCAGAAGACATCAAAGATGTACGAGCTCCTACGGAAGGACCAGAACATCAAAAGGATTGGACAAAGCCCACGGCTGAGTTCAACGAAATTAAGAAGGCGTTAACAGAAGCGCCCGTACTGGCGAAGTTCGACCCGTCGAAAGAGACCGTCATCGAATGTGACGCAAGCGGAGCCGGACTTGGCGCGGTGTTATCCCAGGACGGACATCCGATCGCCTACGCCAGCAGAGTCTTACACGGACCTGAACTCAACTATGGTTACAGAATGGGAATGTTTGGCCGTGGTATGGGCAGTGCAGAAATTCAAGCACTACATCGACCATGGACCTTTCACCGTACAAACGGATCACCGAGCATTGCAGAACCTGCTCAGATGCGAGTCAAACCGACCTGGCATCAACCCTCGGCTAACACGATGGGCACTGGCTTTACAAGGACGGG